CACCCCGCACAACATGATCTACTCGACCACCATTATGGTTACATGTACCCCGAAAAAAAAAAAACGGAGGTAAAAAAAAAAAAACGTTACCCTGGTTGCCGAGTTCACGAAGTGAATTGGCTTGTTTTACAACGTCGTTGCCAAGCGACGAAACCCAATCCCGATGGCAAACACCGAGGAGGGGGCTTGTTTTACAACGTCATTGCCAAGCGACGAAAACCTAACCACGATGGCAAACACCGGGGGTGAGCTGACAGCAGTAGCCCTTGTCTTCCGGGCGGGTTGTGCAGAGCAGTGCTGCAGAAGTCAAGGGCTTGTCTTGCCAAAAAGTAGCCTCCACAAGGCCCTTCCATCCATCAGGTGGTGGTTCTGAGTCCCGCCTTGTAGCAAAGATTTCCGGAATAGGTATACCATGTTAAGCCTCCCGTTTGCCAGATGTTACAGAACATGTGCATTTTTCACGGCTCCAACGAGTACTTGAAAGTCACCTCGTCGGAGACCTTCCGTTGGAGATCTACCTTGGGGGCGATGTCTTGATTCGAGCCAGCCAGCGCTGACGTGTCCCACACAGCTGATGACAGGCTGTTCGTCCAACAGCCGTACGTGCATATCCTTTCTCGTTCCCATTCCAGAGTCGAGCCCAACGTGTGCTCAATGCTACGCATACATAACGACAGCATCGATACTGTAGCGCAGAAGCCGGAGACCCCGCGCGTCGCCCCCGCTTCTCACTCACGTCACGCCCTCACGGAAACCCCTTTAACAAGTGCCACGTTTGTTTGCCATTGTCCTGACTTTTTCGTTTGTATTATTTAAGGTTCTCCGCGCTACATGCCGCCAGAGGTGGCCACGAATCAACCGTGAGTATGGCTGTAACGCGAGTACCTGTTGTCTTATAGTAGCACGAGTAACTGAAACTTTAGCCGTCTGTCTTTCTGCGTGTATGACGTTATGGGTTATAAAACGTAAAAATATTTGGTGTGTTTTTCATGCATATCGTTAACAATATCGCCTTTCTGGTCTTGATCCTGTTTGGCGACATGCCTCTGTCGGTGGACACGATGGTGCAGTAATGGACACTTTTGGCTCTGACCTGACCCCGCTTGAACACGTTTATCTTTCATCTTGGTGTTGTCGTTCGTCACGAAGTTGTGGTTTTGATGCTGTGAATGCGGTGCCTAGTGCCCAGGCTACAGGCTGACTGACTGACGCCCTCTCCGCGTGGCGTACGAGCAGCTAGTCGTTTCTTGTTCCTACTTTATGCAAACCTTCACAGGTGGCCACACTCATAGCCTTGAGGCTGTTGGATGTCGCTTTTTTTTTTTTTCGTTTTCACGAGAAGAGGTGTTTCACTTCTCTTGCTCCGTACTTTCAGGGAGAAAACTTGAGTGGAGAACTGGCACCCGCTTGTCTCCAGTTCTGGGGTCGTCCTAATCTTGCTTGTCTGCAGTCAGTTGTGTTCTGAGCTTCGTTGGCGTTTAGACGTATTTGAGGCCTAGTCGAATCGCGTTGTGAGAGCGACGCCTCACCTCTCAGAGCTGAGATGTTGTCGCCCCCTCTTCTCCCGTCACTTTTTTTTATCACTGTCTTGTTGGGGCAGGTACAACGAGAAAGCGGACGTGTGGTCCTTCATCATCATCGTTTGGTGAGATGGAAGGGGTACGACAATCTTAGTCCATGCCATCCCAAGTAAAACAGACGTCCGTTCCTCAAAGGTCCTGGGGGGGTATTACAGGAGGATGCCGGTTCTTCGCGCTCGCGAGGTTTTCGGGATTGAGCCGCTGCGGGTTGTGAGAACTGCGACTAGCGTTGGCAGCACTGCAAAAACCTCTGCTCGAAAAGAAAGACAGGAAGGAAGCGCGAGCTACCCCCGCTCGTTCTGGTTGGTGTCATGAGGCTTGTGTTGCTCCTTCCGCCCCGTTTCGCAGAGTTTTGTTGAGGTACAGTAGGTGTTGAAGAAAACCGCGCAGGAGAAGGGGCCGTTGCCCCGACTAGCACGGCGCGCGAGATGGTTGTATGCCTGTATGTGGCCTCTACTTGCCCCACTCAAACACCGCTCCTGGTGATCGTCGTTGTGTCCCTCGGAGGGTTGTGCTGTCGCCCTCCCGCGTGCTACTGTAGCAACAAACGATCGAAGGTACGAGTTGTGACGATATGATTGTCGCCCATCATCCACTTGGCAACCCTCGTCCGATTTCGCCTTGCATTGCGCTCTCGGTCCGACTTGAAAGCACTTGGAAGACATGCACCGGAGAACCAACAGCTCGACCTCAGCGGGATGAGCCCAGACGCACGACCACCGTAGATAAGCTCTGCTATTCATTGCGACGCTCAAAATAGACTATTAGTTAGGCAACACCAACACCAACACCAACGGCAGCAACAGCCGTAGCAATTGTAACAGCGCCTATCCTTTGACGCACACAGCAGTACCAACGGTTTCGCCGTCTTCATTGTGCTTTGCGCTGTGCAGGGAGATGGCGTCCGGCCGCCTACCATTCGCCGGCATGAGCATGGAGATGTACCTCGATAAAGTGTGCAATGTGAGTGAGCAATGTCAAAATGTGCAACGGCGGTTCTCGTTTATGGGAGACTCTTCACACAGCAAGACCTACGCCTTGGAGGCAACGGGATGGCGGAGGCCACAACCCGTTGCTTAGCGTTGGCATAGCAGTCTTTTCCTGGACCCCCTCTCAGAGGACATAACAGCAGGTATATAGGCAATAGGCAGGCGCCACGATTGGCGGAGAAAACACACACACACCGTTCGTGCCGTTCCTCGTGTTTTTGTCGCTGCGTTCCATTCCCACTATTACCGGTTCGATCTGTCCTGCGATTCTTTCTCGTTGGGCGGGTCCAATTTCGGCGGGTTGAATTAATGCTAGGCATGCCTTTACTTTTAGAATGCAGTAGCAAGTTTTAGCGGATGTAGACTACTTACAAGTGTGTTTTGTTCTCGAGTTTACCACAAGTGCTATTGGTATAAACTCGTCCTTCAACCCCAACCCTACGGTGTGCAGGCAGCAAGCGGATAGTTGCAAAGTGTAACAGAAGACGCTAGAGTAAATCAGATTTCTCTTCATGGCTCTTAGCTCCTACTACAGTAGATGGTGGTGGTTTGCGCTCACCGACACGGGGCAAAGAGCTTTTCGCCTCGCACGGCCCCGCGTTTGGCAAGGTACGTTCCACGGCGGGACAGGATAGCGTGATCGTAGACCCGGCTCCGGAGTCGAACGTTCTTCTGCGTTCGTTTCTGTTCTTCGTCGCTTTCGTCGTTGGTGTTAGCAAACGCAGTTGAATCGCGGTTGTTCTTGCGGCGATTCATCGTTTCTACCGTGTTGTTCGTAGAAATTCTGAAACGGTCGATGTGTGGGCACCCTCTTCATAAAGGGTACAATGTCCCCAATGTTGTCGAGGACGATTCGCTCTTTTCGCAGATGAACATTACAACATTACTTTTGCTGGGTTTTTGGTGCGACCGGCGCCGCTGTTGCTGTTCGCGCAGGGCGCAGAGCGGCCTCTAGTGCAGAACCCTTGGCCCGCGGACTTCAAGAGCCTGTTGCGGTCGTCGTGGCAGAGGGATCCCGACAAACGCCCCTCCTTCCGGGAGATACACGCGGTGAGTGCCGAAAAAAGTGCGTTGGAGCGGTCGTGCACACCCTCGACCGACGTTCAATCAATGCTCTGTTGCATCGCAATCATAAGAGACTGCTAATGCCAAATGAAAACGGGTGGTGTCGTGTCGGATAAGAATCTCATGGATGGCTTTTCCTCGGACATATTTAGAACATCGGTCGGCCCTCGCTTCCTCTTACTTTTTATATATGTCGTCGTCGAGTATGTGGGATTTGGCGCGCAGCCTAGGGGTTGCGCGATCGCTCGCACTTTCGCGGTACTGTAGGCAAGTAGCACCAAGCTACCTGGCGCTTCAATGCAGACGTGCTTCACTGTGTGCCGCGCAAGGCCGCCGTGGTTGCACGCTTGCCGTACGGTGACTCGGGCGGTCGGTCAGGTTCTGCAGGAGGCGACGCCGTTGTGTCGTTTGATTTTTGGTGGTTGCTTTGATTGTCGTTTCGGGTTGTTGTAGTCGGGGTGTATTCTCTTTTCGTGCGAATGGGATGTGCACAACTGTCTCTTTGCTGTGCATCCAAACGTCTTTGACCGGCTCCACTGCACGACAATATACCCATGCCGGATAGGAAATCATGTCTGACGCCCTTTATGAACAAATACCGGTTGTTCACGCAGTGTACGCTTGTCAGTCAACCTGTCGGACATGTCGCTTTGCGGATGTCACCACAAAATATGGTCGGTCAGATAACTGGCGTGACCTCACCAGCTGGCGGGAGCCGACCCTCGTTTGGTTTCCAGCCGCCGCCTGCTGAAGCCACAGGTTGTGCGTTTTCAGGCACGAACCGCGACACAATCCCATTTGAGGAGGACCGATCTCGAAAGCTGCAAACACGAACAGCACCTCTCCCTCTGCACTCAAAAGCACGGATTTTCGCCTCTCCGCTTGAGATTACAAACGCTCCCCGTCCGTCCGTCCGTCCGTCCGCCCGGTAATTTCCACGGTGCCCCTGGTTTCACAGGTGCTATCAGGCATGTACAGCGAAATGAACACGAAGAAGAAGGGAGGCTTCTTCGGCAAGAAGTAACGCTCCGACAATGGCGACGGCGCGACGAAGATAGAAGCGAACGAGGCCGATGACGAAGTCGGACACCAGCGGTCTGGAACCCTGGCTGTGCCGTCCCGTATGCGTTGCTGTTACCTAGAGTAGAGGTGATTTTGTACGGCGGGCAAGCGGGGTGGTTCGTTAACCGTACTGGCAGGCACCTTCGTTGGGAGGCCCGGAGTTTTGGTCAGTATCGCCCACACGCTGTGGGACTCCCCTCGCCCGATCGAGCAGCGTGTGCCGGCAGAGTCGTGCTGGTATGAGCTGTGCAGAGTGGAGGCTGTCAAGGGGAGAGGTCTGTTGGCCGGCCGGCGCTAGAATCGCTTGTTCCTCGCCGCGAGGATCTGTTTTCATGTTTGCCCTGACGGGACCCCCTCGCGGCCAGCAGCAACATCGGCCTACAGTACACCTCGACCCTTGGCTCGTGGGCGACATTTCATTTACACTTTACGCGTGGTATTTCAGGGAGCTTTCACATTTTTGTCACTATTATACATCGGTCACTGCACGACCGCATACCATTGCTCTGTTGTTTATTGTCCTCTGTGTGCAGGGGCGCGGGCGTCTTCTTCCCGGTTCTCTGTTTTTTTTTTGTGGACCAGTAGACCACGCTAGAACGGTGGGAATTCTACAAGGAGAATGTTTCTCGACTAGTCTATATCCGATATGGTCTTTCTCTCCTGGTTAGAAAAGGCGGGGCGAAGAAAGAAGGACTCTTGCTGCGTAATAACGGCAAGGTGAGGGGTATGGGACAGAGGAACGCAGGGAGTCAACAGAAAGTTACAGTTGCATTTCGCAAACAGTGGAGGGAGGATGCGACAAGGAATAGCTTGGCTTCGGTAGATACATGTTTCTTGCAGCCGTTCGGGACACGGTTTCCCGCTTTGAAAGGGACCGCGCCCACCTTGTCTGAGGTATATGGCGTGCTTCTTCCTTTCTTGACGCGCTCGCGCCCGGTTTGCGGGCTGTGCTTTTTCGGGGTGCTTGATTTCGAAGCCTTTGTCAGATCGTTCTCTAATCGTCTCTAGCTACGACGAGGGTGCACCTTAGCTTCCTTGTCTTTTTTCTGCTGCTAGTCGAAGGGTGCCGTAAAATTGTTTCTTCATCTTGGGTGTTTGTTAATCGATGAGATGAATTTATAAGCGTTTTGTCAAAGTTTTTCAATGGTACAGTTGGTGATGTTTTTTATTACGCTCCTGGGATGGACGTACCTGGGATAGACGGGCGGCGGTGACTTTTTCTTTTTATTCACTCAAGAGCACAGTCGTTTTTTCCACCTTTTGCAACCGATATATTTGTATTTACTTTCATTTAATTTCCTGTGGGGAGAATGTGCTCTGCCTGCTGATGATGGGTCTACAACGGTAAGAGATCAGTCTGAAAACCTGCGACATGTTGACGTCGACAGAAAAAACAGTAGTAATGAGAGGCGTGGGAGGAGGGGGGGGGGGGGTATGGTGTCTAGTGTTCTGAGTTCTACTCCTCGTGGGCTGAAAGAATCAAGTGCGTGTGTCCGCCTCCATCACTTGTTGGCGCTGTTCGTTTTTTCCCGTATTTTGTCAAACCCTTTTTGTCGTGGATGATGACACGTAATTTACACATGTTGGAAGAGTGGGAAAAAAAAATGCACGCACAGAAAGACTACCCATTCGAGATATAGTCTACCCATAGTCGAAAGGATGTAGATTAAGCTATCTACGACCTTTGGGGTCCTACGGTCACATCACGCATGGAAGGAGCTCAAGTTGTCATATTTGAAGATGGGTATATTTTGCTTGGAAGAGTTGGAAGTGCTGTCTGATGTGTTTCGGTTACCACTCGCCACAACAGTTTATTTTGCCTTTTGCCGGTGGTTGAGCGGGCTAGCGGCGGGTGGACGTAGTGCTACATGCTCCAGACTGATCGCTTGATACAGAAATGTTTTTCGAACGTCTGCAGGAAGATTTTGAGTTGGCTGGATGCGGGATGTTTTGGCTGAAGGCTGAGGAACCTGTTTCGCGAGCGAGTTGCTTTTGACATTTCTGGTAGTAGCTTGTCACGGGTTGGCGTGTCCACGGAATATGGATTTCTGTACCCTGACTGACAAGCCCGGAAGGAATGCCGGATGAGTGGAAGGTAGAACGGGTTCGCCTTTGAGGGGGAAAAGTTTGAACTCATGGCATGAATAACGATGGGAGAGGAGAAAACAACAAGCGATCTTGATTTGGCTTTGGCTCCGTCTCTCTGCATGTAGGCGCTCCACACGCACCGCCGTCGCCATCACCATCATCATTCATGTCGCCCTAACGTGCATACTAATACGGTGGCACATAATTGATAGGAGCGAATCAAAAGATATGCGTTTCGGAGTGTAACTTTCGCAATACGATGCGCAGCACCGCATACGATAGCGCAAATTGACGACACGGAAAAGGCGGTCACGATGAAAAAAAATATTAAAAAAAGGTTTCAAATTGCTTTAGTTATGGCGTGTCGTGTACCTCAGCAGAGATCAAAATCGGAAAAAATGCCCAGCAACATCCGGCCAACATTGGTATCCCCACTTCTCGGCCTGTAACTAATATTTTTAAGCGCCTGTCGGCATACAGCAGTAGCGCAAAACGCTTCCATGACGAAGGCGGTCAATACGCAAGATGATAAAACATGAACGCAGTTGTTGACGTGTGGCAAGCTGCATCCGGGGTAAAACTTGTCGACATTTGAATATTTTTGATTTTTTTGTTTTCAAGAACTGCAGTAGCTGGGAGCAGGGACGCAATCCCCCGCGCACAGCAATCACATATGTGTGCTGTTGAAACATGGCACACCCAGTGCATGGGTGTAGCAATTGATCACAAGGCTGAAAAAAATCTCATCATGGTTCAACCTCGTCGCTGCCATCACCCCATTCTGCGCTTTCCTGCTGGATCTGCTCCCCTACCCCTTCCTCGACATCACCCACGGGCGACACATCATCTGTATCGTACCCGTCCGGCTTTTCGAGGCTGCCTATCGTACCAGAAAGCACTCCATCACGGTCCTTGACCCACTTATTCATCTCTCCAATGGCGTGGTCAACCAGCTTCGAACAATCGGCTGCCTTCCACCCCCCCTCCTGGCCTGGCCATTCCTTGTCCCCGTACCAACCTTTACGAATCTGCACCCACACCTCCCGCATCTTTCGCTTCAACTCAAAGTTAAGGCTGACGTACTGCTTACCATGCTGCCAAAAAAGCTCGATCGGTTGAAAGGACGGCATGTAGGGCGGCGTCCAAATCAACGCCCACCCCTTTTTCCTCATGAACGTCACCACCCGTTCCTCGAGCCTTTCAGGGTGATTGAGGTGGATGTACTCCCGAGTGGCCGTTGCTACCTCCGCTCTGCTTACACCGCCCTCCCTGTTCCCTGCAGGGAATGAAGAACCAGGCTCTGTCGGTACCTCGAAGTTGTACTCAAGAGTAATGCTACGGTAGGGGGGTCACATTATGGGGCATGTGTGACCGATACCACAGGACTGCGCTATTTTTGACCAGCCAGAGTACACCAATTCTGTAGGCACACTTACTTGTGTTCCCGTGTCAGTCACTGATTGATTGTAATAACACTAAGTATTGGAGAGCGTCACACAACACGGGCCCAATAGCTAATTGTTTACAAAAAGCCGGTCACGAGGGGTATCCCCCCTACCGTAGCATAGCTCTCAACAACGCCCTGTTCGCCCTCCTTACGCTTAACCCTGATCGACTTGGCCCCAAACATTCGCAACAGATCGACGTTGTGCTTCTTGGTGTTGGATTCCGGCAATTTGACTTGCGCGTCAAATCCATGGTGGTATGAGGCGTTGTCAAGAACAAGAATCATCCGTTTGCCTTTGAACTCAGGGATCGCGTTGTACGCAGGGTTAAGGCGGTGTTCAAGCCACTCCATGAACATCGAGTCGGTCATTGCTGCGTGGTAATCGCCCTTTGCCAACTTAGCCTGCCACAGAAACTCTGCTGTCTCCTCATCTTCCATTTCCTTCTTGCCGCTACCCGTTTCCTTGAACCAGCCCTCTTCGATCGGTAACCCATCACAAAGCTTAGCCAACGGCCCCCACTTCGTGATTGCATGCACCATGATCATGCGCAAGCCCTTCCCCGTTGTGCGACCAATCCCATCCTGCACAACTCCATCCTCGTCCGAAGGGAAGTAAGAATAGGGGGAACCATGAGCCTGGTGGACAAAACTCTCATCCATGT